GTGCCCACAAGACATCGTTACTGTCCGCCGAAACTTCTACAGACACCACAAACGCTACATCCGCATGAACGGAGCGTACTCCAGGGACCTGGCCAGGACAAACGGTCACCTCCAGGGCAGCTCGTGGTCCCTGGATAACATCAAGCTGCTCATGTGCGTGTGGACAAAGAGGCAGCACCGATACGTTCCTCGATCACTCAGCACTACCTTCGTTGACGACAGCAACTCCACTACCCACACCGCTCCTGAGCTGCAGAAATCTCTCGACGAAACCGCCAAGTTTGACCGATTCTCCGGCCAACGCATTCACCCTGGTAAAGTGGCAGGGTGGGCGCTCACCGATGAGCTGCACGCCGCCGTCACCCAGCTCACGCTGGCGGATCGCCCCCTCCGAGTGGTCGATTCCTTCAAGCTCGTCGGGAGTTACATCAACACCGAGGCAGCGCCGGCTCCAGCCGCGCTTAACCTCACGGCCACCGCAGACGCCCGTGTGCGGAGGGCGACTATCCGCCTGCCGCGCATTGGCAAACTCCCGTCGCCGATGCTTATCAAGGCGCGGCACGCCCGATCCCTGGCCGCCAGCGTCTGCACCACGGGCACCGACATCCAAGCACCATCAGGCCCAGCCAAGACTGCCTACAACTACGCCCTCAAGGCGGCTATCCGCCCCAAGGGGAACAAGTGGGTCGAGTTCTGGACTCTCATGGCCGTGTGCGTGCCGGGACACGCCCTTGAGATCGACGCCATCACGCAGCGTGAAGCATTCCTGTGCCTGCGGCGTCAGGTTAACCGCGACGTCACACCCTGTGGGCTCGCCAGAGACCTCCAACACCACGTCCAGACCCTGTTTGGTGGAGGACCCGTCGGGCGACTCGTCCAGTCGCTCCAGCAGCTCCGATGGACCTGGCCCACATTTGGCATCATGTACGATGACTGGGGCTGCCCGATCAGCTGGCTGAATTTACCCCAAAACGCCTTCCTGCACATGCTGCGGGCCTCACAACGCAGGGCATTTCTGCGGAAGATCAAGCCACGGCGACACGAACTTGGCTACCTCGCCTCGGTCAGACAGGGCCTTGACCTCTTCGCCAGCACGTGGCTCGCGCGAACCAAAGGAGCAGCCAAATGCACTGCCTGGCAGCTGGCGCTCCTCCTGAACTACCTGTCGGGCGGGGACCACACCCAACAGCGACGATCCCGATCCAACACGTCGGCAGACCCCAGCCCCATGTGCCGCTACTGCGACGAGGAAGAGGTAACTCAGGAGCACACTGTCCGCGACTGTAAGTGCTGGGCCCGAGAAAGAGTTCCTCTCACCACCCTCATCAGTGACGACCAGTGGGCCCGTCTTCCGCCGCACACAAGACACTGCGGGCTCTTCGACGAAGACCCAGCCCTCCCCGACCTGCAGGCCGACCTCGCGAGGGACCCGCTGCCACAGCCCATCCCGCGGCCCCCCCCTGAGGGTGATCCTGCGGCTTCAGCCCAGGACACCTACACCACCTACCTTGACAACGACACTGGATGACATGGGTCTATGCTGCCACGGACGGTGCGTGCACCAACCAAGCCATCCCACTCCTAGCACGAGCGGGCTACGGCGTCTACTACGGCATCGACCACACATGAACTACAGTGCACGCGTTCACGGCCTAACGCAGAACGCCCAGGTTGCGGAGACCCTTGCCATCGTCCACCTTACGGCGTGTGCCGAACGGCCCGTGCACGTCTTCGTGGACAACCAGGCGGTGGTCGATGGGTTCCAAAGCATCATCGACGGACATCCAGCGCCGCAGGGCACGCACGCGGAGCTCTGGGCAATGACTCACCGATGTGTCATGGCCAAGCCCGACATGTTTCGCGTCGAAAAAGTCGCCAGCCACCTGGGAGACCTGGACATCGACCTTGGGCTCATCGGGCCCATTGCGGAGGAGTTCAACCGTCAGGCCGACGCCCTTGCCACAGCGGCGGCACGCACGCACAACCTCCCCGACGACATCGTTGAAGCTGCCAAAACACGACATCGCCAAGCGACCGTGCTTCACGGGGTCGCTGTCGCCATCTACGAGCGCAGACACCGTACTCTGCCGCTCCCACACCGCAGGTCTGGGTTTACAGCGGCTGAACTCAGCAAAATGGAACCGAACCCCCTGCTGTCGGACCAGGCACCACCCGCGGCTGGACCAGACATCCCGCAGAACCCGGACGAGCTCTGGGCCGAGGCCCAACGGGCGATGTACGACGAACAGGAGGACGACCCGTTCGGCTTCGGCGGGGGACTAGACTTCCTGGACGACGGGCCAGCCAGCGCCAACCTTTCCCCGTCGGGCATCCGCACGACGCCCACCTCGACTCCGCCACCGAGAGCGGCACCGCACCCACATGATGACGTCGCTCACCTCCAAGACGCCGACGAGGACTTTTATGATCCCCTCGGAGTGGGTGGCAGCATAGACGACGTCCCGCCGACACCCCACGCTGCCGACGATGCCGCTTCATCGAGTCGCCACCCGGTCACGCGGCCGACCTCTGAGCCCTCGCACGGCATCATGATTGTCCCCTCCGTGCCACCAACCCCGTCCCCCCACCAGCGCCAGCCCGCGGGGGCGGCTTCAGCCCCCCCGCAGGGCACTGAGCCAGTCAGGCCGTCGCGCCCCGTCCACGCTCCTACTGTTGCAGGCTGCGAGGCTGCGGCTCCTCCGTCCTCATGGGGCGTGGCCCAGCGGCTTCAGCCCTGGGACCGCGCGACACCCTCCAGACGCCTCGCCACGGCGACGGCCGCCAGCGCACGGACCGCCGCACCGCGCTGGTCCACCACCTGGCCAGGCGCACCGATGACCTCGTCCCCGCCGCGAGGCCCGCGGCCGCGGGCACAGAGCAGCCGCCCCGCACCGACCGCGAAGCCGAGCTGTCCCAGTCTATGGCCGCTCTCCAGCAGAGGTGCGCAGCTCTCGCCGCCGACCTTGCCGCTGCCCAAGCCCGTCAAGGCCCTTTGCTCCGGCGCCTCCACCGCGCCGGTCGTGCCTTCGCCGAGCTGCTTACACCCCCGCCCGATGGTGCTGCGCCGCCACTCTCCCTCCATGCTATGCTGTCATCGCTCCGCGGCGCTCCGCCTGGAGCCCCGCGCTAATCTCCGCCATTCTGCCTGCCCGTGTGCACGCGTGGCCCCGCGTCCACGGTGTCAGGGCGTGGGGGCGGGGGGTGCCCCGTCCCTGCACGCCGCGCTGCGGCCAAGCGCCCAACTGGCGGTCTGCCAAGCCGCCTAGCCACGTGTCCGCACGTCGCCTTTCTTGTTGGGGCCTTCTTCGTCACGCGGTCTGACACGTGAGATCTTCACAGTCTGTCCGCCGTCCGTTGCTTCAGACGCAATGCGCCGGGGGAGGGGGCCTGTTGCCCGCCCTCGTTTCTTAAGGCTGCACCGCCGCTAATAGTGCTTGGCGAGTTGTCGCACCGCAGTGCGCCTCGCGGACGGACCCTGGTCCGCCCACTTGTCCGATCTCTCCGCTCTCTCTCTCTCTCTCTCTCTCTCTCTCCTCTCCCTCTCTCTCGCTTCCTCTCTCTCTCTCTCTCTCTTGCTCTCTCTCTCTCTCTCTCTCTCTCTCTCTTTCTCTCCTTCTCTCTCTCTCTCTATCTTCCTCTCTCTCTCTCTCTTCCTCGCTCGCTCGCTCTCTCTCTCTCTCTCTCTCTCCCCCCCCCCCCCTTCCCTTGTCCCTCTCTCTCTCTCTCTCGTCTTCGCCCTCTCTCTCTCCCCCCCCCTCCCCCCCCCCCCCCTCCCCCCCCCCCCTTGCCCCCCCCCCCCCTCCTCCTCCTCGGGCCCCCCATACTCACCCCCATCTCCCCCCCCCCCTGCGCCCCTCGGCCCGTGCTGCCCGCGTTCTCTTCCCCTCCCTCGCTTCCTCTGCTGCTAATGCAATCGCCTTGCCGGTCAGGGCCAGCGGCAGGGCCGCGGGGGGCACGGCTGCTGGCGGCACGCCTCGCGGCGACCCCCCTCGCTGCTCGGGCAGGCCCGCCCTGGGCCCTCGCGCGCCCTCTCTAGGCCCTGGGCGGCCTCAAAGCCGAAGCGTCTTCAAGCAGGATCAGCCTGGAGCTCTCTCTCCCTGACGCCCACTTTCTCCCTTCTCGGCGCCCTCCTGCACGGGGGGGGGAGAGCTGTCGCAACGCTTCCGTATAACACTAAACTGAACAAGCTGTTGATTGAAAGCAAGCTACCCGTGTAGACATAACCAGATCTACGATACATATATGACCATTTCTACGATACATATATATATACATATATATAGCAGAATGCCAACTGATCTGAATTGAGCGCACATGTTTGCGGCAATGCGCGCGCGCGTGCATGCGCGCGAGTGCGCGCGCGCGCGCGGTCGCCGTCGCCAGCGGGCGCTCGTCGCCGCCCCGCCGCCGCCGAACCTCGCCTGCACGGCGCGCATATGCGCATTCATGTGCGCGCATATATGCCGCCCCCGAAATATCAAGTTCGCGTGCAGTCGGTCCGCCGCGCCAGCCGCCGAGCAAGAGCGGCCTGGCGTCGCTTTCGCCCCAGTGAATCTATAGCGCGCACCGCGCGGCATCCCCCACAGAGAATCCAGGATATCGTTGCCCTTCCGCTTGCAGAGGGGTCGGTTGTAGCCGCGTAAACGCGAGCCCCGCCAGGGGCCTTCTGCGGGGCTGTCTATGAGGTCAGGAAGCGCGCGAGGGCTGCGCCGGAATGCTCCCCATTGCGGCGGAGATCTGCACCAGCAGCTTACTTTTGTTCTCATGCAGCAAGTTCACGAGCTCCTCCGCCGCCTTCATCTTCTCCCCCATTGCTGTAGCGGTCGGATTTCTTGCCGGTAGAGCTCACCTGGCGCTTGTTGCCGAAATTCCCACGCACGGCGCTGCGCCCGCCCCTCTCGCGCCATCGTCGTCCTCGGCGGCGGCGCGCTCCTTCTCGTTCCAAACCCCTGCAGGCTTCGTGGCGGCAGCGGCGGGTCACTTGAGAGGCCCGCCCGTTCCCTTCGTCTTCCTCTCGGACCACGTCTCGTACATGGCATTCGGCACCTCCGTCTCCTTGTCGTCTCCGTGCACTTTGGCCGTGCGCGCGCCGTCGGGCCCTGGCGCCAACTTGCACTCCGCGGTCGTCGCGCCGCTCTGTCCTATCAGGGGCATGCGGTCGTAGTCGACAATGAAAATCTCGAACTTCTCGTTATTCTTCTTCTTGCCGCCCGTCTCGGCGGAAAGGTCCCCCCTGGGGGCGGCGGCGCCGCCTGGCGAGGACGCGACGCTGATGGGGTCGCTCAGATGTGGCCTCAAGATCTTCGCGTTCAGCGGGATGCCCGTCGGAGCCTTCACGCGGTGCGCCTTGTGGATAGATCCTGGGCTCGTCGCGGACCCGCTGGCTGGGGTGCTCGGAGGCCGCGCGCGCGACGGGGATCTGCTCCTACTGGGGGCCCTCGCCTTCGCTTTCTAATAGCTGCCTGCCTGCGGCCCCCCAGTCTCACCGACCTGCTTCGCTGCGGGGCGCAACCTTGATCCGTCGACGGCCCCCCATCCACTTGGCGAGGGCGTGAAAGAGAGCAGCCGAAAGCTGCCTCGCATACATGATGGCGCCACCTCTGGGCGTGCCGAGCTCATGGGCGATCGCATCTCGCAGTTGAGGCTCTGAGATCCACTGCGCGATCTGAATGGCACCGCCCAAGAAGGCCATGTTGTTGGCGACCGCGTCATCCATGTCAGATTGGAAAACCTTCATTGCAAGTATCTCCTTCTGGCATGACTTCACCAAGTCCTCCGTGCTCTCCACCGAAGCCGCGTTCTTCGCCCGTTC